CAGGACACAGTGTCTCAGCTAGGATTTCCTACTGCTGTGCAGAGATGCTATGACCACTGCGTCTTTTTAAATTTTATTTTATTTTATTAACATTTTTTCATTAATTTTACACACTGACCACATCTTCCCCTTCCTCCTCTCCTCCCACTTACTATAATCTAAAAGCAAGAAATGGTAGAATAAACCTAAACTAGAATTTTATAAAATAGGATTAGCAACTGCTGATTTGGGAGGAGCTACCCTAGAAAAGTTTTTGGTCAGGGGGAAAAAAGGTTCTAAATCTACCAGGGATTGGAGGTAGCGCCAGATTTGTAGGAGGTGAGTAGGTAGGAGAATGTAGCCAGGATATTTTTGTCTTAAACTGGGCCAAACATCAAGAATAGGTTAGGCTAGTCTATAGGTATACTCTGATTTTCCAATTATTTAAGTTATGTAACTTAAATCCAAGACTGTCTCCAAAGTTAATAATAAACCAAAACCCCTTTCAGTCAGATGTCCCACCTGGTGTGACCCTGTGACATCCATGGGTTGAACTCAGAAGTCAGCCATGTTATTATTATTATTCAGTTTGCTCATAAGAAAACCTTGGATTTGTGTCTATACCTCCTAAGACACTGGGAAGTTAATCTTCAGTGTCAGCTTGACTGGATTTGGAATCACGGGAACAACACACATTTGGGTGTGTCTAGAGGGAAGCTGGGAGGGAGAGACACCATGAATTTAGACAGCGTGATACTGTAGGATACGGCTCTGGAATGAACGGAAATGAAAAGGCAAGCTTGGATACTTAACGAGCATCTCTGCTTCTTAACGACAGACACAACATGACCAGCTGCTTCGTGCTAATGCTGCCTTGGTTTTTCCCCACCGCCCTCATGCTGTGAGCCAAATTGAACCCTTTCTTCCCTAACTTTCATTCCCCCCGCCCCCCACACACAGATATTTGTCACAGTAACTGAGCGACTACAACAGATCCACGAGAGACCCACACCCACATGAGGAGGTAAGGCCTTGGGTGAGCATATAGGCTAATAGATTCACACCTGAGTGTGCACATGAGATACCTCACCTTGTGTTTCCACCCAGACCTCGGGGAAATGCACAATCAATAGCACTTCATGTCCCTCCTAAGGGAGCCCCCGCCATAAGCTTTAGTTGGCCATGATCAACACCATGACCAAACCAACAGAGGGAAGAGTTTGTTTGGCTTCCATGTCCCCATCACAGCCTGTCATTGAGAGAAGCCAGCTCAGGAACTCCAGGCAGGGGACCTGGATATGAGGGATGGAGGAATGCCGTCTCGTGCCTTGCTCCTCACGGCTTGTTCAGCTGGCCTTCTTATGCACCCCAGGACCACAGGCCCGGAGGTGGCACCAACCCACACAGGGCTAGGTCCTCCCATATCCATCATTGGTCAAGAAAATGCCCTATACACTTGGCGGCAGGTCGATCTGCAATGGCGACAACTCCCCCATTAGCACCCCTTTTGTCAGATTATTCTAGTTTGTGTCACATTGACCAAAAACTAACCAGCGCATCCCACAGCCAGGCCTTCCCACCTGCAGCCATAAAAGCTGCCTCCCACCAGAGACTCTCATTACTGTATCTAACGTCTCCAAGAGGCCTACGTTACCTGCTTCCCTTCATGATGAGAGCCTGGGAGTGGCTTCTGTCAGGACACTAGACACAGGATCCTCGACTGTCTTCATGGCTTCCAGTGGTCCATCTTCCCTCCCAACCTGGCCTGTCACCAGTGAGGTGCCAGCATGCCTTAGCACTCAGGAGACATCAGAATTCACGAGCTAAATTTTATTTAAATTCATTTTTGTTTCATTCCAAACAGCTCCGCTACCAAGTCATCCTCAGAGTTATGAAATACAGTTCCCTGATAGAATTAAAACGCAGACTCTCATAACTTTGCCAATTTCACCCTCCACACATATTAATTTAATATATTTCTATTCAACAGAGTCATTTATTAAGGTTTTAATTGGGTTTCAGACTTCCCCATTTGAAGATGCGAAGTGGATTCCAGATACAATAAAGCTTTCCCTTGTCATCCGCTACATAAATCACACTCCCATCAGGGCTGACAGGAAGATCCATCAGGAAGTGCGATGGGAAGATCATTCTCTTACACTCAGTCAGCTTAGGACATGACATTTTTCCCCTGGAAACCGTTCCGCCCTTACCTTTTGAAATCCTGAAGCAGGTCCTTCCTACATGTCTATTCCCAGACATGTGCATCTGTGGACCTGTGCCCAAGGACACATGGCTGTGTCTTCCAGCCACGT